TATAATTGGCATAGGGTTATTAAAAGTACATCCTTGCCTATTGTTTTTAGTATCCCTTTATGTACCTATTGACTAGTAAAAGTATCCAGAGTATCACCTTTGTATTCTGTAAATAATTAAGGTTGTTGAGCTCCAGATTATTTGATTTTATAACCTCAGGTTTTAAATACCTCACGTTATGCTGTTGTTAGGTTCATCAGCATTTGAACAGAGCATTATGATACAGCCCTCAATACTTTATCCATGCTTTTTAAACTTAGAGATCTGTGTGCAAATGATTTCGTTTTCTACAGCTGAAATTGCAATCAAAACTGCCTTCCAAAGGTAATGGGGGAGCGTATCTTTAGACAAGTGACTTTTCCTGACTGTATGTGATATGATAGGCATTCCTTGTAGGAAAGAGAGGTTGAGTTTTTTCGTGGTATAGCCAGAAGCAAAACAAAAATGTTGCCATTTTCAAGATGATTAGTGTTTTAAAATACAAAAAGTGTGGAAATGAACTGTGTATATCTTTATTGTTGTAATCCAAGTACTGAACATCTTAATACATTTGTTGGCTCCATCTCTACTCCTGCAGCCCTTATATATTACACAATGTAGTAATAATAGACATGGAAAGCTATAGCAATAGTGGCGAGAGATGTCTGCCATGGATACCGTTCCTTTGGGAAGGGGATGCTTGCAAGGAGTTTTTGCTATGGCTGTATAGAAAAAGATATTTATAAATTGCACAGATTCTTAATTTTTTTTTCTCTCATATGCTTTTGTTCTTAGGGACAAAAACTTATGTAATAAAGCCAGACAGAATCATTGGTTTGTTAGGTTTGAAGTAACCTTTGGAAATAATCTGGTCTAAAATTCTGCACCAGGCAGGGCTTGGTTTTTCTTAGAAGTTTCTTTCCTACAAACTTGGAGAAAACACTTGTAATTCTGAACTACAAAAATTTGTAAACAGTTATTTGGAGTGTCTAAATTACATTGCATTTTCATACTGCTGCTGCAAAGAAATGTTTTTGTTTTCCTTACTTTGAAATCTCTGACATTCTTGATCAAAACAGAAAATTACTTGTAAATATTAAGCATTCGATTTCATTTCAGTGCCAGAGGGTCTAATCACAAAAATATGCATGAGCATTTGAGACACGTAGCTTCTAAGAAGGCTTAAGGATAAAAAGGAGGACAATTGGCAATAACATACCACCTGAATTGGTTCAGCGGGCTCTAGAACTAGAGGTAGTGTTGCTGTACCTATATTAAGTCATCCTATGGGAAATCACAGCTTGTGGCTTTAACTTAGGAGCAGTGTGGCACTAGGTCATCTATACTATTTCTGGAAGATTATCTGCTATCTTTGCCTGCCTTTTGCATTTTACCAGTGCAGTGTAATATTACAGCAGCCTCGGAGCTGCTTTGGTGTGTTGGTTCCATTCGTTGTATATGATGTTATATGCCTCGAGTTAAGAAAAAGGAGAGACAGAGTAGGACGTGAAGAGGAACAAAGGGCAAAAGTAATTTAGTAACTTTCAAGAGAAGCTATTTCAGGGGTGGGAGGGAGTTCAGTGCAAAACAGGCATGTTGCTGAATTTAATCATCTTTAAGCTAGTGCAGAGGGCCATATTCAGCACTGATCTCTTGCAAACCAAAGAAACATATGTTAGATTGTCTCCTGTTAAAACATAGCTCTATTTTCCTACTCTCAAAATGTGGAACAAGTGTTCACGTTAAAATACCTGGTTTGTACAGCGGCTGAACAAAGACTTTAAATCTGTAAGCACCTCCACATTTTTAATATAGTAAACATTTGAGATGTTTTAAATTATTGTCTTTCTATTAGCTCTTTGTAGTTTGACTTGCATTTAGTATCCTGATTTATTCCTCCTACGCTGCAGATAGCTAAATGTATTCTTTGATTATATTAAGTTGTGTGACATCTCATCCACCGTGGTTCTCTCATCCCTGTTTTTTTCCTCACGGAGTTTAATGTTTATTTTAAAGCTACTTTTGATTCTAGTCCTAACATCTGGGATTTTATATGCCTGTTGTTCCTTGCCTTCCTATGTTATTTCAATTCCCTGTGCAGTCATATTTCCCAATATTTCTATACACTTTTATGAAATCAGATTAAATGAGGAGGGAAAAACAACTAATGTAATATGCTTCAGACTAAGAATGGAAAAAAATTGATTTTTTTTCATTGCATAAGAAAAATCCATTGCAAATCTCTCTCTCTTTGTTACATGCTTTTACAAAATAGGTGTATATGTGTAATATACAGTAACCATACATACTCTGTTACAAGTAATTCACTAATACTTGAGTGAGTTCATAATGGCTGTGTCTCAAAATTAGGGTTAGTATACTTTGCAGTTTACTTTGCTATCGTTTTGCCCAGTCATGTTGAGTGCCTGACTTTCTGTGGCCTGTTGCAACTCTGGGATGAACAATATGGAATGTCTTTTGAGTCAAACATGGTCATTATGCTCTCTGAGGAGCTGTAACTGATAAATTTAGTCTGTAAAGCTCAAATGAAAATAAGACATATTACTACTTATAGATAGTTCAATTCATAGTAGTGCTTATATGACTTCTCATTAAGATATTAAGGACATTCATTTCTCTTTATTCAAAAACCTCTATTGTAAGGATACTATAGGTGTACTGCATTTTCTCATTGAAGAAAAGATTTTATTTCTTTTTTTTTTTTTACTGAGAAGTTGTCATAGTATGCTGCATTAGTATAGGTTTTAAAATTAAGAATAATTATTAAATGAAATTGCATCGCATGTTAAATTAGTCAAGAAATAGCGCTGCTTTATTTTTGCTGGTTTTACTTTTAATGAACTTTGTTTTAACCTTAAATAAATGATTTAGAACTAAGGACTTTGTAATACCCCCAGCATAACTCATATCTGCCTTTTCTATTTGTTTTTTCTACCCTAGAAGAGTAACTGTGTTGCATAAAAACTTGATGCATTTATTTAACCTAGTAATAACCAACTGTTCAGAGCTGAATTTCTAGCATAATAATACTGGGCGAATTACGTCTTGTGTTGGCAGCTATGCCATTTTGTCTAATTCTGGGATACAGTCACAAAACATGTATAAACATAGCATTACCAGTGGGAATGCTGAGTTAATGCTCCCCAAGATCTCTCCTTGCATAGAGGACTGGGCAGAGAGAGGATTGGCTTAGCAATTAAAGGTGAGAGGTCAGCTCTGCAGTGGGTGAAATTGAGTCAGAGATGTGGTAGGAAAACGGTTATAGTGCCAACAAAATGTCTGCTGAAGGTTAGGCAACCTGTTATATTTGCTAAATGCTAGTCATTTGCTGTGTATTTAAATATAACACTTAAAGAGCCTATTGTGGAATAATCTGTATGCGACATAGCCCATAACTAGCTGCAAATTGCAGTACAAATTACAGCGTGGATAATACTACAACCCTACTTGAAATACTTATTTGAACCTCAAAAACTCTTTTCAAAGATTTAGTGGTGTTTTAGACCGTAGGAAAGTGAGTTAAGGTTTCTGTTGTTCCATGTTTCTCTTTTTTTTTCCCTGTGAATGTATTAAATTTTTTTAAATGTTTTTCTGGTTCATATCTGATAGTAATCAACAATATTGCACAAACTTCCTTCTACATGCAAAGTTAAAATTTGAAAGTTTATATATGTTTTCTAAGTTATATCTATGGTATCTTCAGATTGTTTCCATTACTTCTGTCTCTTGCCTTCAGGAAATACTAAGGTATCAATATAATTCATTCCAATGAAACACACTTATCATGCTTTTCATGTGTATGCTCTAAAGGAAATTGCCATTTCAGGTATTCAGGGGAATAAAATTAAATGGTACAACTTTAAAGCTGGGGGGAGGGCAGGGAGAAATCTGTAAGCAAAATCTTTGTTGTTTCTTTTATGTGTATATGGTTTTTTGTTGTGTTTTTTTTGTTTGGTGTGGGGGTTTATGGTTTGGGTTAGCGCCCCCCGACCCCGGAGGAGAATACCCCTTATTATGCCATTTGAAATTCCCTGTACAGCAGTCCACCTGCTTATTCAGTAAACCACCTCAGGGTAAAGCATTAATATTCTCTTATTTTTTTTTTTTTTTAATTACTGTTTTTCTGCCTACAAAGTAACCATTGTGTTGTAACTTGAATAGAGATATTTTAAATTGTGGGGGGAAAGGAGGACAATGAAAAAGAAAACAACTGCTTAAATCTAAAAGAGTAGTTTTCTTAAAATCTGGATTTCTTAATGCTGGACTTAATAATTTTTTTTTTTTTCCCCTTAAAACCCCCCCACCCCTTTTCTTTTAACCTCCTTTATAAAGCTTTTTCTTCCCATTTTCCTAATTTGGGTGCTTTCCTAAATGGCCATGAATAAGCTCCTCTTTAAGTAGGCATTGTCAGATAAATCCTCTGAAGCACTCTTTTGCACTGTTTTGATGTTTAAGAGAATTTTAGTGTAAAGGAAGCCTGAAATATTTCTCCATCTCCTTTTCTCCTCCTGTCAACAGTGTATCTGTTGCTTAATTCAACATACCCAAAATAAAAGGATGGTTGGCAGGTTTTTATTTTTAATTTTGACTTACTAAAAATATAACTATGTATACTTTTTTCTAGCTTTGAGGTCTGTCTCTGTCTTTACTATTAAGAAACATTCTTCAGTGTGCATGTGTAACATCCAGCACTTACTAGCTCATGTGAGGCTAATTTAATCTATGTATAAACTATACAAATGCAGAAGTTGAGTACAGAAGGTATATTTATATATACAGAAGAGTATGAGGGATGAAAATAGGTTTTGGGGTTTTTGTTTTTTAATCTTTTTTGCTTAATGTATATACATCTAAACCTCACTGGAATACAATATATTTATAACTTATAAAATATAGGTAATATATTTTTAAATAACTTACATATCTTTATTGAGTGATCAAATATTTGTATGTGTAGTCTAATGTTAAATATTTTATTTCTCTTATGTTTTTCTTTGCAGATTTGTTCCTTACTACGTCACCAAATTCACAAAACATTCAGTTTGAGACATGGGTAAATAAGGTAAGAGAGAAAACCCAAATAATGATTCTGTTAAAACACAGAAAAGTTTAAAAAAAAAAAAAAAAAAAAAAAAGGTCATCTGATACTCCGTGTTTCAGGAATGAGTGGAACCAGTGTTGAGGCACTGACTGCACTATTGCATTTAGACTGCAGAATATCACTGGAGATCTTTCACTCAGCTTAAGTTCCTCTGCAGATTTTTTAACATGATTGCTAAGTAAATCAATCAGACTGCCTTCATGTACCTTAGCAGGGCTCCTGGTGTGTCATCAGCTGTCCTAGGAGGTTTCTGCCACTTAGCATGGTGACTTATGAAAGAAAAGCTGATCAGATTTTTTTATTCTTGCTGTCTCAAAGATTTGATTTCTTTAAATAAGCTTTCTTAGAACTATAACTTCAGGTCTTGGGTAAGATTTTGTGGGACAGAGGTTCAAAATCTCACTTCTAACCGTTACAATATGTATGCAAGTTACAGTTGAGAAAATCCTGAGTCCTATGTTAACCAAATATCACAAATGCAATTCAAGATTGTGGAGAAATAGGTCAATGAGTTATTTTTACTTATTTATTTATTGCAATCCTGCTTTTGTCTTGCCTAACCTGGCCAGGGTCAGTGAAGAACCTCATTGTTAATAACAATCAATGGAATTAGTTGATTTGAAACTAAGTGTATCCTTTATACTAAATCTGTTACCCAAAAGGGCTATAGTTAAGAATCTTAGCATGTGTGTGTTATAAGTTTACTTTTTTGTTGTAATAGAAAGTGCTTAATGTGTTTCTTATTAGCTAAGGAATGAGTTTTTGAGGCTTTATTTACCTGAAAATTTATCCATCATATCACAGTGAGTCACTGTAGAATGGAGAACGTAGTCTTGTCTGTGAAAACGTGGCCATCTTCAACCAGCTGCTGAACTGAAAAAGTTTTTAAAAAAAAAAAAAGTTAAAAAATTAATAGCTGCCAGATATTCTCTGAACGCTACTTTTTAGGCAAAAGTAATAAAAGGTGTAGACACCCCTTCCCCCTCCTCCCCCCCTTCTCTTTTACAGCAGCATGTTGTGAATTCTATATTTCTGGCTTTTATATAGACTTAAAAACGAACAGGTTTTGACTTTGATGAATTTGATTCTTGAGGGATTGAGTATTAGTGACTACACAAGGCACTTGACCTGTCTCCTGTAGGTGTTTTTTTTTTTTAATTTTCTTACATGAGTTTGGAAAATCCAAAATTTGTATCTTATGTATTCTAAGTATTATCCTACATTATATATTTTGTATGCATGGATTTGCTTATCTTTAGAAAGAAAGAATTGTATTCTTTGGAATCAATCAACCCAGTAAAATATGTCATACATATATATATATCAATCTTAAAATACATTAATTGATCCATTAAAAGCTGTTAAATTGCTCTACAAACCTAGGCAAAGTAATTCCCTTCACCAATGCACCATAAAATGCTTTTAAAGTATTTGTTTATATGAGAGATGCTTTTCTGGCCAACTGAGCACAGGGCCTAGTCTTCTTTTCTGCATGGAGATGATTTGCATCATTTTTTTTTTTTTCTTCTCATCTGAGTCACTATAAATTATATGTCAATGTAACGATATATAGGCAAACATCTAACTAACTGTCTCTAGAGTTGCATCTTCAATAGCATTGAAGTCTACAAACTGAACAGGACATGAGTAAGCAATACAGATAACTATACATAATCTACAAAACAGTATCATTTATCTTAATGGCTTTACGTATACTTGTGTGCGTAGCACTTTATATGAGCTGATTGCAACGATTAGAAAAGTGGGTCTTAGGTCATCTTACTTGGCTATGAAAACTTAACATTTTAAATGGTTTTGTTCCAGTTGTGATCCAGTTCTTCAATAAACAAGGATCCAGCACTCCTCTTTTGTCTTTCTGATGAAATACTGGAACATTGTTTTCTTAGGCCTAGGTTTTAATAATGCATGATTAAAACGACCTAAATTAGGCCTAATGTAAAATTAAGTTATTTCCCAATTAGAAGGAAGATCAGAAGCTATTTTTAACAGGTGTGCAAGTGTGGTTTTATATATTACATATATCTATAAAATCACATGTCAATATGCATAAATGCACATTAGTATTTATGATCACTTAAATATAATTTAGATTATGTTGTTGAAATAACCCAGTCTCTTCCTTATAACACAGCAAAATATATGGACAATTGTATCTGAATATTATTGTTACTGGATTTCTGTAAGATTCCGTAAAGGATTAGAAACGCAAAAACTAGTCCCAATTTTCAGAGAGTGCATTTTTTTCCATAGCTGAGATGTCTCTTTATTATCTACTTAAGCGCTTTTTTATTGATGTGTATTTTCTTTGGTTCAAAAGTCAAATTTTATCACTTAGTCTGCAGTTCAGTTTCTCCATCATCTTTGTCCTGTTTGATAGGATGGGAACTTCTCTAAAGCTGGAAGAAGTAAGGAAACACCTAGTGCTGTGGAAGTTGTTGGACAGTCCGTGTTTGCAGATTTTGGTGAGTTTTATTCTTCTAAACTATCCTGAGTGTTTCTTTCTTGTTCATATTTTGGTTAGCTACTCTAAATCAAAGAACAAATAAAGATGTTTAGCTCTAAAAGTTTTTTTTTTTTTTACTTTTTTTCTTTAAGGTGTTATATCTATTTGACTGTAAATCTTGAAATATCTGGGAATAATGACTAATAAATTCAACTAAATTCAACTTGGCTATCCTAGTACATTCTGCATCACATGTTTCTACTTTTGAGTGCCACACTTAAGGACAGTTGCTTTGAGGCGTGGTACAACGCTAAACTCACTTTTATTAGACATGTATTTTGTTTGTTATGATTTTGGGTTTTTTCCGTAGCCTTGTTCAGAAGATATGATTTGAGTAAATGTTCATTAATTCTTCACTTGTACAAGTTAATAAAGCCAAAATGTAAATGAATTAAAATTACTTGAATAAAGGTTGATGAAACATGGTAAAATCTTAATGGTTGTAATTGAAAATTCTGGAAGGCTTTTGGACAGAAGAAAAATTTAATTTATATGTAAATCTATTTTTGCAAGGGTTAGTGAAAGCCTGTATTTTTCTATTAGAATATACTTTTTCAGTCAATTGTGGCTTACCAATGTGTGTGTCATGTTATGGAGAACAGGAAATGTTGGTTTTGTAGTCGAAAAAATACTTTTTTTTCCTGTGCACTAAAGTAAGAATTTTGCAACCCAAGGGAAAGTGCTACAGGCTTGATTCTGCTGACACTATTGAATATAAATAACTTCTTAAAGAACTAATTTACTATATTTATACAACATGCTTGTTAATTGTGAGGCTGAACCTGTCTTTAAATGTTGTCAAATGGTAGCCTTGTTGCATCGTTTAGGTTTAAAATCTATTTTAAAGAAAGTGATAATTTTTTAAATTAAAAGTCAGACTCTGTATCAGACCCAGAGTCCTATTCTCTTGCTCTGTGCTGCCACTTAGAAGTATTCTTAAGAGTTCTAGCAAAGCTGTTTACTGACATGTAACTAGAAGACACTTCTGCTGGATAGTTAATTATCCTTAGATCCTTATCTAGCAACTGTGGATGGGTTTACAGATCTATAGTAAATGAAATAAGGTAGAAGCTGAACAATGCTCTAAGTTCTTCTGTGAAATGTTTAACACAATTTCTAAAATCTTTGTAAAAGCTTTTGTAAAATTTTTACTGTTTATCTACAAATATAAACACTTGCGTATATAATATCTGAAGGAAAGAATAGAACACTACGGTTTTTGCAGTTAAAAAAAAATTAATTTGTTGGGTTTTTTGTAACTATTTTCCAAGCTGATGTTCTGAATAATGTGTCTTAATAGGTACTAAGTAGAAATCTGATTTTTTTAAAATTTTTTTTTTTAACGGTGGCAACGTGGAAAGCAATCTTTATGTAGGATAATTTTATCTGTATGTTAGGTAGCTAATGAGCCCAAATGATATATCATAATTCTAGAAATGTATCATAATTAATGGAATTTTAATAAACCCTGGGATATTTTTGCAAAGGGAAGTGGAACTGTTCAAATGTTATAGTTAAAATTTTGAAAATGTGAATAAATTGAATGCACAGTGATATAGCAGTGCAGTACACTGTGTGGTTTTGGTACAGCCAAGGTTATGAAAGACAATGGCCAGTATAGCTAGCTTCGCCGTGGGGGGCTGCTGTTTTGGAGTTCCATCACCAGTTGTTTAATACTCTGCTCTGCTAATTATCATCAAATTCATAGGCAAAGCACTAGTGTGAGCACAATAGTGGAGCAATCTTTCTAGTAAGGATGAATACAATGGGAGAAAATGCGTGCAGGGACTTAAGAAATGCATGCAAATAAATGTAGAGGGACAGCATATATGGCAAAGTGGATAGAGAGGCTCGGAATAATCAGTATCATCTATGGGAAGACATGCTGTCTTTTCAGAAGCTGACTTTTTGGAACTGGTTAATCTGAAAGATCTCAGCCATTTCATCTCTAAGAGAGAACACCCAGCACAGATCTTGCAGTATGAGGGTCTTGCTTCCTCTTCCTGAACAGCTACATGCACACCATCATCTTTATCTTCATTCCAGATCACTCAAGTTAGTCCACGGTGAAGGATGGGAAATGGTTTAATGGTCTTTCTGCCCATTAATTTTCCTAAGCGAGTGAAAAGAGTGCTATAAATGTATGTTTGTGTTTTGATAGAGGAACAATGTTCTGACAGCTACAGAAATACTTATAACTATGATTTCAAATTTACTATTTGAGTACTATTACGACTTTAATCTTTCTTCTGTTGTAACAGTGGGTAGGAAATTGAGTAGTGCATCATTTTTTTTTTATCCTCCCAGCATTAATTTAAAATAATCAGCACAACAAATAGTTATTTTCTCATTGAATAAATTTTTGGAGAATATTGACGTGAATATGATACTAAAACAACATGTATGAGTAATGAAGGGATATAATTCTAAATTCCATGTTATTTAGGAAATGCATTCTGAAGGAAGTTGAATAATATCCCACCACCATCAAAAAATCCTACCTACCTACAGCGAAATAGTTCTGTGTAAGAGTGGCTATACAGTAACTGATAGGAGGAAAAAACTTTTAATGCAAAGGAGGATCTTAGTTGAGTTCTGCTCATGCTCATTTTCATTCCAGAATTTTTTGTTCTGTACCAATCTAACAATAACAAGGCAAAATCTCACATTACTAGAATAACACTGTATCAGAGTAACTACATTTACCCACTGTACTATGTCTGCATATGTTTAGATACTTCAAAAGGTAGGCATTTATAATACAGATTCTGCTTGAGGTGAGCTGAAGTTAGAGAAAATGCCTTACTAGAAATGGTTTGTCAGGCTTGATCATCTCCTTTTTTTCAGTTTTCTGTTTCAAAAATGATGGAAATAATGGTTGTCATAAGTCAAAGGAAGTTAAGGTGTGATGGTTTGCAGTTTGAAACAGTAATTTGGCTATCTGTAATGGGGCCTGAAAGAGGTTTCATTGCACAACAAATCAAAACAGCACAATGGAGATGTGAAATGAGATGCATTAGAAGATTGCTCTACCTTCTACCTAAGTAGCTTTTGCCAAACTGTGTGTGATACACAGCGCTCTCTCTCTGCTCTATGCATGCTGCAGGCATCTTCACTGTTGGCGCTGGAATACAGCTGCCGTGACTAGAAGCACATTCAATGTACAGTCACAAGCCTGTTAAATTCTTATTTCTGTGTTGCCTGCCTCTACTTTCTTCCCCTTTCTTGACTTTTTCTGTCATAGTTGATGTGCCAGCCTTGCCATTCGCTAAAAGTTTCAAAGGATTCCATATTTCTCTGTGCTCTGACTCTCTGCCACTTCTCATTTACTTAACCTTGTGCATATTAGACTCTGGAACAATGTCAGGTCCAGACATGAGCTTGGGAGTATGTTACTTGTGCTGCCGCCTTCTCATTTACACCCACCTTTCTATTTCTACACAGTTGCACTCCTGCAGTTCAAGGTTCTGATTTATTGATTACACCTACATCTTAGCAAAACATGTTTTGTTTCAAAAGATGACTTTGTCTAACATTATTTCCTGCTTCCAAAAGTTTTATTTGAAGTACTCTTTCCAGCCATAAGTATTTACCTGTCATTTGAAAAAAGGAGGGAGTTTTGAATAAGATCCTGACTGAGAACCTCCAAAGGCAACTAATTTTGGCTAAGGTTTCCTTTCTTAAACTAAGCAGGTTGAACAACAGCTATCAAGTAAAAATTATTTAGATAAGTGGAGCTGGAAAAAAACAACAATTAGGTGACTCATGAGAAACTGTCACAGATGCTAGTGTAATCTTAGCACCAACTGTTCCTGAAGTACTCAAATAATAAAGATTTTTTTTTCCATGAAGAAGGTATATAAATGTATGTTTGTATACCTCTATTTGTATCTGTAAGGTGTACTACATTTCTGTATGTACATATATGTGTATATATGTGTGTGTATTCTAATGGAAAAATATGCAAAAGCAGGTGTGTGTATATATACATTTATGGTAATGTACCAGACCTTAGACTTTATGTCCAAATTGGAACCTCTAAAATAAGTAGCACTCCCCTCTGTTACATGATAGCAATGATTGGTACATTAACCTGACCAAAGGCCAGTGAACAATTGACAAATTTATATTGCCCTTTTAAAAATAAATCAGAAATGCTTTGTGACGTATTTATTACAAGTGGCATTTCAATTGATTAAGGTGAACAGAGATGGGCACTAGAGAATTCTGCACTTATTTGGCTGACATATTTCTCCAAACAAGTCAGAGCTCTCCGTTATTACTTTTTCTATTCTTCTCATGTCACTATGGTAATTGCAGTGCAGCGGTTGCTATAGCAAAAATGATTAATCCTCCATTGTTGTTATCTGTATGCTTGCAGAGGCTTTTTATAAGATCTGCTTGTACGGTCTTTAGAGGAAATCATAGATGTTGGCTAGAATTCTGATAAATAATTGCAATTATAAAGAGTTTTAATAATTGTCACTTGAAATAGTGGAAAATTTTGTATTTGTTAAAGAAATTTAAGGGTTTCAGTGGGACACTCTGAAAACGACCAATTTTTTTTTTAGTGACGAGATGAATGTGAATCATATTTTGGACACAGAAACCTGCTATTTTCTTGCTACATTGAAGATTAATGAAATATGTCTTTAAAGTAGTGATCCAGAAGCAATTAGCATAGAATATTGTACTGTTTATACAGTCCATTAATTCATTTTTGTAGGAGTGTTTAATGTTCTAGCTGTTATTCAACTATGATTGGTTTAGTTGGTTTAGTGGCGATTGATAAATCATCCTTTGTGATACCTGATCTAAGAATGCTAAAGTTTGATTAATCAGTCACTGATTTTGCTTAGTTTAGGCCAAGAAATTTTTTGCGGTCTGTATGTAAAGAGAATAAAAAATAGCTTGTTGAAACCAAACTAGATCATACTGTTGATAGTGTCCTCATAAGTA